CATACACACACACACACACACACACATCCCCACACACACTTCTCTTGACAAGGGCATAAGGTACAAATCGTTGATACAGTTGATACAGCCAGTAGTTGACGATCTCGGGGAAGAACTCGATCCCATGCGCACAGTCCATGGAATCTAAGGAAATCCCTAGTTGCAGGTACTCTATCATCGCCCGTTCTCTGCGGATTTTGTGCATGACGTTGTTTTCAACTATTTGTGCAGAGATATGATTTCAGATGTATGTACAACCTTTCCTTTAAGACGATCACAAAGGCGTATGTTCCCAATGAAAAGGGGGAAGAGCGAGAAGCCCCCCCCCCCCCCCCCCCCCCCATTCTTCTGAACACTTTATCGTTTTTGGACGTGTGGTAATTATACTAACTTGTGCATCTCTCAACATATTAAGTAAGCACTTCCACTCATAAAAAAAAATAAGTATGCATGGACACGTGACATTAAGCTGTCTTAACGGTGCCTCATTTGGCTCATTATGATTAGACAGTGATAAACATTAAGCTCACAAGTAGGTAGTATTTTGATATACATATCAAAGTAAAAATCACATCACATATATGAACACACTCACAATCACATAATTGTTCTCACAACTTCCTCTCTGTTTGTGTCACCCAATAAGGCCACGAAGTTCAAACAGAAAGATGCAGTGTAGGCTGCAGGGTTGACAAGGACTGAAGTTGGCAGGTTTTCTGCTCAGAAAGTCATAAAGTAAAGAAAAACAAGACTCCAGTATCACAATCACCGGGTAGAAAATCTCCACACAGAGACACACCGGGACGACTTAGACAGAGCACCAAACCTACTCTTCGTTTGCATTATTTGATAGTACAAGTAGATCTAGCAGCAGTCTGAAAGTTCTGGAACCGATTAATTCGGGATTTTGACAGCCAAACGGTGTCATTATCGAGGACACAAAAAACCCGGAGTAATAAATTTGTTGTTTGCCCCCACTATCCAGATCTGAGTGTCTGATCTGACTGTTTCTTCATAAAGATCTGGAATTCCATTGACGCCAACCGTTGTAGCAGATTACACATTTCCGGCTGGCTAAACTAGCAACAGCTTTTTTCCATCCGCGTAGTTTCATCCAAGAATACTGGACTCCCGAGAATTCCGTCCAAACTTTTGGTGCCCGTCTTTCAGACCAAAAAGGCTAAGGGTCTCTTTTGAGGCAGGGTGGTGAAATCAGGCGTTTGTCAAAATACTGAAGCTATTTTTTTTTTTTAAGGCTCAACATCTTTTATATCCATTCAAGAACACCTTTCTGTGGATTTTACTGAAAACCGCTGATTAAAGGCACACAAAATGTAAATTTTCGGTTACCACAGGCTCTCAAGCTGTGGAAATAACCAAACTTTGGCAGCCATTTTCTCGCAAATTTAACCTCTGAAACAAGGCGACCTCCACCTCCTTCAATTGCAGATATGTCGACTTCTATTCAAGATAAATGGATATCTTTTTCATCAAAGGCGAGACAAACGAACAAGCTTTAAGATTACACCAATAACTCTACATCCCCAAAAATTGACGAGCGCCCGATTCCACCGCGTCGTGACACATATCTCATTCTAGAAATGCCCGGCCTCTCAATCAATCTTTCTGTCTAGAAAGTCCAGAAAACACGGAGAGCTCATGTTGCAGTCTCGACAAGGTTTAGTCCACAGCCGCGGCCCTGGTCTCACACATGTGCCAGATCCCATCTCTCCGCCCAGAAAAGCCGACGGGTTCTTTTTTTTCAGTGCAGAAAAACAAAACCGGAACTCCGATGATTACTTCCGGGAGGGGCTGGACTTGACAAAGTGGCGGAGACCTTGCTCCTCACACACACACACACGCGCACACACAGTGTTCATATCTTGGAAGTGGCTAACGGCACTCGTAGCTCTGTGTCAGTGCTTGGGTCATGGAAGTAGCCGTTTATACTGGGTTTTCTCTCTTTCCTGGGTAAGAACAGGGTGGCGAGAGAGAGAGAGGGGGGGGGGAACAAGCAAGTATTACAAGCAAAATACAGATATGATACATAATAATAATAATATGCTTGAAAATAAAACGTACGGATTTCATGGAATGTGGACGTGGCTTAATCCTTTCACCTTATCTACTTTTTAATGAGTATCTGTATATTACCAGCCATCTTTAATTCTGTGTAGACGTAATATCAGCTTAAGGGCGCCTTTCTCTTCTGAGCAGACTTATTATCAGCTAAATTAATGTAGCCTTTCTCTTCTGTGTAGACCTAGTATCAGTTTAATTGGTGTAGCCTTTCTATTCTGTGTAGACTTAGTATTATTAGCTTAATAAAATTGATCTAACCTTTCTATCCTATATAGACTAACATCTAGTAACAACTTATTGAAAGTAGCCTTTCTATCTTGCGAGAAAGGATACTCGCATGGGAATACACGCATGCCAAAAACGAGATAGAGATAGAGATAGATAGATAGATAGATAGATAGATAGATAGATAGATGATAGATAGATAGATAGAGAGAGATATATAATAAATTATATATATATATATATATATATATATATATATATATATATATATATATATATATACAGAGAAAGAGAGAGAGAGATAGAGAGAGAGTGAGAGAGAAAGAGAGAGAGAGAGAGAGAGAGAGAGAGAGAGAGAGAGAGAGAGAGAGAGAGAGAGAGAGAGAGAGAGCGATGGGGGGAATCCGCGAATGCAAAAGAAAGAATACATGAATAAAAAATAAACAAAACAAACCAACAACAACAACAACAACAATAACAACAACAACAACAACAACAACAACAAAACAAAACAGCCAAAAAGCAAGAACATCAACAACAAAATAAAACGAGAGGGGATCAAATAGATATGCAAAGAAAAAAGACAACGTTCACGCTCTAGGTAGGAAGAGTACACGCAACTCTGACTCAGAGAAGAGGAGACAGCAGGAGCCAGGAGTAAAAAAAAAAGACATCTAACAAGAAAAGGCCCAATGAACGCACTTGTCGAAGTCTATAGCGTCCTGTATGGTCTCTGGAAGTTTCCTGTTGAGTGTTTCCGGCAAGAGCAAGGACAGGAGTCCAGCCATGATACTGACCACTCCAAACACGATCATAGGGAGACACTTAGCAAACGGACCTCCGACTATGATACCCTGAAACATAATCAGAAACATCCATGTGAAAGGACATGGGACAAAAACATAAGAACAACGAAAAACCTCAGCACAAAACAGATGAAGAGACTAATCCTTTGTTTCTATGAAGACTTTCTAGTTTCTATTTTATTTCATGTTTATTCTTTATTTTTTAAAAATAAAGATCTATTTCATTTGATTCTGAAAAATTTTATTTATTTATTTATTTATTTATTTATTTATTTATTTATTTATTTATTCAATATTGTTTGTTTGTTTATTTTTTTATTCTTTTTATTCTTTTTCACAATTTAAAAAAAAAAAATTATTTTTTTTTTTGGGGGGGGGGGATTTTCCGCGGTATTTCTGCTCTTTGGGTCATGACGAAAATCAAACAAAGTAGCAAAACAGTTTGTAGATGGGTGGTCACTGGAGCAAGGCTAAGCGCATAATACAGGTACCACTGCTGGAAAACATGTGCTTGATGCACCTTATTATGCTTATGACTATGATTAAGATTATGATGAAGATGAAGATGATTGTGATTTTGATTATTATTACAATAATAATAGAGTAAATTTAAAGAGCGGTCTATCCCATTCAAGTATAAGGGCTGCGTGCTTAAGTTGAATCAGTCATATTTGTATATTATATAGGCCTACACGATATTTCTTGTGAGATTTATTTGTCTCTATACAAGGTGCTTTTAGAACTTATAGTTACGGAGCCAAAGAGTTAAGTTTTCAGATTTAGTTGACGCCAGTTGTGACGTCACAAACATTGCGAGTCACTGACTATAGGGTCTTTAGGCCATTCCCAAAGGGGGGACATTTCTCGTTCATGCACAGTAGAATTGTAAATGGGCTGATTCATCATGTCACGTTCATAACTGTGCCTAATCTACAACAGGGAACTGCTGCTTTTTCTTTCCTTATCCTGACAATTGTCATTTTCCTCTACTTCTTTTGTATGTTTGTCACACTCTTGTGACCTGCTATTTCCGGGGTGCCTTGATAGTCGAAGCAGACTTTGTGCTGTTGAAGCTAGAGAGGTGAGCAGAGTAAGTCTGATTCCCTGTGTTGACACCCACCCCTTGACGCTCATATATATAACCTTATGCTGTTGCGAGCGCCGTTAAACTTTCTATTAAAAAAACAAAAACATTGCGAGTGGATCGCTGAAGAGGATGTTTGTCTGTGATGGCTGAACGTTTGGGAAGCGTTGCGCGTTTGGCACAGAGGTAGCATTTAGTACTAGAGTTCGTGGCAGTGATGTCCCCCACGTAAAGAGGTTATATTTAGTACTCGAGTTCGTGGCAGTGATGTCCCCCACGTATAGAGGTTATATTTAGTACTAGAGTTCGTGGCAGTGATGTGCCCCACGTATAGAGGTTATATTTAGTACTCGAGTTCGTGGCAGTGATGTCCCCCACGTATAGAGGTTATATTTAGTACTCGAGTTCGTGGCAGTGATGTGCCCTACGTAAACGAACAGGGGCTGCTTGTTCCCACTATAGGGTGCTGAACCTCAAAGGCAAAAAAGCATAGTTCAACAGACGGGAGAGTACGTTTCAAGACTCAAGTGGAGGCGTCTCTTCGGTCTTAGCAGGAAATCTACAAGCTTGCACAGAGATATGAGGGCAAGGTGGTGTTAAATAAACTACAGCTCATGGAGAGCGGGGTGGGGGCTCAGATTGTTCATGTAAATGGGGGCATGCCGGCCATGCCGATGAGGGTAAGAAGGCCCTCATGCCTGACACGGGTGACGCCACTGCTGCGAACTCTAGTATTTTATCTATCTATCTATCTATCTATCTATCCTATCTATCTATCTATCCATCTATCAAAATATAGATAGATA